AGACTTATCTGCATCATGTGGTGGGAGCATCAGCTGAATAAATGAGCTAACAGAGTTGAGCCTTCGCTGTGGTGGTAGGAAATGAAGGAACCCATTCACCACCAATTAACTTTATTTGAAGCACTGATGTCTCCCAGCTGGGATGAAGTGCAGCTTATCAACTAATTTGTTTCTTATAAGGAAGAGGTTTCTGCTCTCTCTCTCTCCCTTTCTTCCACTAGTATTTAATGAAAAATGAAAATGTACCTTTATTACCAAGCTAGGAAACCTGTACATCATAAACCATACAGATAAAGAGTGCAAAATTTACACATGTGCATGGGGACGTATATGCATGCATACAAATGCCTGCACTTGCTGATATATCTGTATCTGGATGTGTATTTATATTTCTGACATTTGCCATCTGTTGGAAGTGTAATACCGGGAATAAGCATCTGGCACTGTTTCGTGTAGTAGGGCCTTCTGACAGCTGATGCTAAGGAGTGCTGTACCTTTGGGGATTAAGGAGTGGTTAATTAGGACAAGGAAAACATACTGCAGAACATAAAATTCCTATATTGAAAGCAAGAGTTCCAAGGCACTCTGATTTGGTTTTCATCAGGCCCACAGCCTAAAACCAACCCAAATTTAATGTTTTCAGAGGGATTTCATCATCATGTTTAGGGGAATTTAAAGGTGAAATATGCAAGATATTAATAAAGTTTATCGATAATTCCACATCCAGAATTGTCCAATTACAAACACTGAACACAGAGAGTCACTGAGAAAAGGTTCCAGAGAAACAGGCTGCAAGGGGTAGAAGGGGGTACTGTGGCACCATATGGTGTACTGTGGTTTATCCACGGGCTAATGGGTGCAAAACATTGCAAGCAGATGTGCCATTCAGGCTGTTCAAAGACTAAAATGTTTTCTTAGCCATCAGGTGCAATTATTCATTGCCCTCCAGGTTAGAATATGCTTAAATTTGTTGTATTAAAGTTGCTGCATTTATTGCACTCATTCAGAAACCTCCAAGGGCTGTCTTTTTTTACGTCTTTGCAACCCTTTGCTGGGTGAAGAGTTGGAAATGAAACAAGCAGAATATTATTTTCTTCTCTTGCCAGAGCAGATCAGTCCCATGATTTGAAATATAAACAAGTTTAGAAAAGGAAAATCTACCACCTTTTCAATCTCACATCATGTTGAGCAGAGACACCTCTCCTTTCTTTTTTATGCATTGCTGTACAAATGAATTAATCCTAACCATAACCAAGTACCGTGTGTAGTTTGGAGACATTTCAAATGAGTTATCTTTCTCTAAGGAAAGTGGGAAAGTTTGCTGTGCTCTAGACTGATAAACTCAGAAAGAACATTTGAAACCAGAAATATATTCTAATTAATGTAATCTGTAAAGATATAAATGTAAGGAAATAGTCTGGTCTGCTTTGCTATGCATATGTACATACACAGGCACACACACACTTTTATTTTCATTTCATACAACCATTTGGTTCTTAGCAGATATCAAATGAAATCCACATAATCACTACTTTCAGAAATTTTCATTTTGTTATCTTGCTTAATATTCTCCAGAATGATAGGATGATATTTTGGGGATTTGGGTTGGATTTTTAGCAGGCCTAACTGTGTAATTTAACAGTGGAATCATATCTTCTTTCAAGCCAACGACATACACTTTTAGTAAAAAAGCTACTTCCACTATTATAAAACCCCTCAAAAAATTAACTTACAGGAGTTACATATTCATATGCAGATGTCTTCAATTATTCCCATAGACTTCACTTTAAATTCTCTAGCCCCCCCTAATTTCTCGGACTTTTCTTTTTGAAGGCTCCTGTTGATCTCTGTTTTTCTCCTTACTATCTGCACTACCTGACCTTTGTCCCTAAAACAGGGTTAGTGCAGCTGCACATCAGACTACCCCATATGAACTTGAGAGACACCATATAAACTTGTCAGTGTAGAAATTCTCTCTTCTCTCTTCTGAGTCGAGAGGGCTAGGCCACTGAATCCTCAATGATGAGTGAAAATATTTATTGCACCAAGTAAGGGGGCACCTACGTATCATTTCAGGAAGCACTGATGTGTGGTTGTGCTCAGAAGTGAGGCAAAAAAGAATCCCTACTATGGTACTATGGCAGTTCTACAGGAGAATAATCAAACCCAGAGGTGCTGAGTGAGGTACACAAGGAAAACAGAGGCAAGGTAGAGATTGGTCAGATTGTCTGTGGAGGACCCTGGGGCCCTAATTGCACTTTAGCAATTGGGACGTGGATTCAGGCTGTAACCCAAACTGCAGATCTGCCTTCAGCAGCTCTCAGAGGGATACAGAGGAAGCCACAGGATAATTCCAAAGGCCTGCTTTGTTGATAGTGGAAGTAGGGCAGTGACTGGTGGCACCTGAAGGATGATCACAACCCATAAGTAACTCCAACCCTTTCTGATGGCTGGCCACTTGCTGACTCAATGTGAGGCTCCCTGCCTCACCTCTGTGTCCCTCAATCCTTTCCTCCCAAGTACTGTGAGCACAAAAGGTAGGTGCCCGGTGCCTGTTTAATTTTGCTCAGTATTTGCAAATCAGCTGGTGTGGATTGAGCCTCATTCATTAAAGCTAAATGAATTAATATTATGATTAACCATAATAAATGCAGCTGCTAGAGTGTGGAATTTATTACCTTGGTTCTTTGGCAACTATCCATTATTTTAAAACTGCATCTGTTGGCTTACTTTTTTTAAATTTTATATGTGAATGTGAAAGAGTATTCATCTTTAAGTGATATATTTTGAAAATTCATGGCTGCATATGTTACTAATATTTAAGATGAACTCAATGTCTAAATTAAAAACAACCCAGATGTCATGTTCAGAGTGAAGTAGCAACATAAAAATATCCAACTGCACCACAGTGGAACAAGGAAAAGAAAATAACTAACTCACTACAAGAATTTCTTTAAGAGTTTTCAGTGCAACATAAATGTACATGTCATTAATGGTTAATATGAACTGCCATCTGGACAGTTGGATTATGTAGATTCTGGCACTGGAGGTGTCATTCGTCTCAGAAAGTGTGAGAAAAGCAGAGAGTTTGAAAAATGTTCCAAACAAAGTTTGACTGGATGTCTCTTGAAACTATTAATGCTGTTGGCGAGCAAGAATCTGAGCAAAAACCTACAGAAAGTTGGGTCCTATGTCTAAAAATGCTACCTCTTCTGTCTGGGGATTTTAGATCAGGGTTCAGAGTACTTTAGTAAATTAGACCTGTATAAATGAAACGACAGAAAAAGAGGTGAACTGCCTTTTACAAGATCTTTTTTCATGTATTCCAAAAAGGTATGTATTTCTTGATTCCTGCTTTATACCTAAAATCCTGAAGTCAGAGACAGTTTGTGGGAAAGAAAAAGCAAACATCTAAATTTTAAAGATAATTTAAAAAATAATTACTTCTTAGGTTTCAAAGCAGACCACAGAATAACAAATGAATTAAAAGCAGGGGCTTTTTTTTTGCAAGGATGTTTTTACTGTACATTTTGTAGCAAAAGAAAAAAAAAAGAGAAAATAAAGGAAAAAAATATTCTGATCACAGGGATGTCGTTATCTAAAACTCCAAGTAGGAAACATGACGAATACAAGATCAAGTACACAGCCATGTCACAATATATTTCTGAAACTTTTAAAAAAAATATACATAGAGTTTTTTCATGTGTTATTTTCTCTGTGCCTTGCATACTTTCTCCACCTCTTTTACAAAATCATAGTAACAATGTGCAATTTCAGAATGGTTCTCAACAGCTGATCAAACAAATAAATGGACAAATGACAGGACAGTTACAGTAGCCAGCAGAATGCTAGAAATCACAGTAAAATTGGTAAGGAAAATAAATTCTGCTGGATGGGCCATGTGTATTTTCTACAACCACAGCAATGCTCACCAACAACCAATTTGAGAATCCGTTTACAAACCCTGAAGATCTCCTGTTATAAGTATCTTCCTGAGGATGAGAGACAGGAGAATAGGGGTGCACCAGACTGGGGAAGGGCTTTATGTAATGCAGGGGATACATGGGACACCCCCGCCTCTGTGATACCCAAATTTTACTCAGCTTCTGTTGAGTAATTTGAAATATAACCAATCCCCTGAAATACACAAAAACTTAATTTTTCTGATGTTACTGATACAGTCAAGACACACAAGTCATGTTGACTGTACAGACAAAGAGTTTTTGTTACAGTAGGGTGCAAGTCTGTAATTTTACTGGAGTGAGAGCATATTTAAGATGAACTGACCCCTACCAGAAGCCACTGCTATCCATAATGTGGAGGGCTCCCAGGAGCTACTTTTCTTTCCCCTTTCTTTATCCTTTACTAGGATATGCTGATAACTATTTTCCCCATCTTTGATAGCAACATCCCTACAGATATCAATATCTGCTGCAATCTGTCTTGAGCATTGACAGGGAGAGGTTATGAAGGAGATGGAAGAAAGAGGATGATTTTTTAAAAATTTGTCCCTAGATTTAATTTTTCCTAGGACAAAAAAGGATGGTATTAGAAGTGGGTTATACAGTACATCAGATATTTGAGCTTTGTACATATCCTCCTTTCCATCTGGGGAATTTGATGAGGCTGAAAACAAAACCAAAATATGCATGGAAACATATCTTGGGTTGTGGGAAAAAAAGCAACTCAAAAGCAGTAAAAAATCAAAACAGAAGAGAAGTAATTAAATACCAACTAAAAGTCCATTCAACAACAAATATTGTTTGCCCAAATGTCACAGTTAAGAGATTATGCTAAACAATCTACTCTGATCTGCCCCTCTGGGTGCCCTGCCTGCACTTTTGAGAAAATTCCTTGGAATGCCAACCAGATAGATCCTAGCACCAGTCATATCCACAGAAGTGTATTTCTGTGGTTAAAAAAGAAGAAAAAAAAAAAAAAAGGTGCCATTAAAAGAAAAAAAAAAAAAAAGGTGCCATTAAAAGAAAAAAAACAAAACCCAAACAAAAAGAAAGAAAGAAAGAAAGAAACTAAAAAGAAACATTGTAAAATTAAATTTCTGCTGTTAAAATCTTTTTCATCCTCCTTGTTTAATCTTGTGTGAAGGATCACCAGGAGTCTGAGTAACTTTTGGAAAGCAATGCTAAATACATCTAGCAAATTCCTTGAAACATTCACGCATGGTTTAGCTGGGGCCAGACAGGAATGGTACCATATGTGCCTATTCACATTTCATGACCCTCTTTCTCTTTTGCTTTTCCTGTAACTTGCTTGCCTATCTTTTTGGCCAGTACAACAGAAAATGTTTCCTCCCCTCTCCTTCCAATTGCACGGCCCTGAAGCAAACCACTTTATAACACATGAGGGGAGAAGAGAAAGGGTGAGACACTGATATTTACACCGTGCTTTCCATTACCCACTCTGAGCTCCCAAAAGTCCCTTTGGCCCCTGTTAGGTCATTGTCATCATACTGCAAAAGCATGCCGTTGACCGAGAGGCTTCTCTTTGTCCAAATGTTTGTTATCTTTTTTGGGTAGGTGCAACACTGAGATGTGGCAAAGTCCCCCATGTCAAAAGAATGGCTACGTTTAGTTTTGCCCTCCAGAGGCAACATGAGGAAGCTGCGGAGTTTGGACTCTGTCTGGCCCAGCAGTGGCTCTTTGTCCGAGTGGCGGGCCACCGTGGAAGTTCTGGAGTCTGTCATTTCCTCCTTTTTCTGACATTTCAGTTCCAGGGAGGCAAAAGCTCCCATTAGCCGGTCAATATTGTGTTTTGACCGGGAAGGAGGCCTCCATTTACTGGACAATGTGCCCTGTTCACTTTGGAGGCTGTAGTTGTCACAGTCACGGCTATTTGCGGAGCTGGAGGAAGAGGAGATGCTGCTCCGCGCAGACTGACAGTTAAATTCCATAAGTTCATTTCTCACCACCACTTTGGGATTGACCTGGGGCAAGACTCCGTTCTGAACTGGTTGTGCTCCATTTGTCTGTGAGTAGACGTTGCTGACATTTGACATCTTGCCCTGGGAATTGTTGCAGACCTTATAGCGGACCATGAGAATTACAATGAATACCAACAGGGTTGCCACAATGATGCCTCCAATGATTAGAATCATGGTCCCACCCAGGAACTGACTGTGCATCGACTGGCACTGAGGGTAGTCTTCTTTGGTGAAGAACTGGGCACATCCCACAATATTGGTGGCAGTAAGGGTTGTGGCCGTGTCATCCCACATTGCCAGGACACAGAGGTCATAGCCTGTTCCAGAAACAAGGTTGGTTACAACAAAGGCCTTGTTTGTAGCTGGTATCATCCTTGAAATAAAAAAAAAAAAAAAAAAGAGAAAAAAAAGGAAAAGAAAAAGAAAGAATTGGTTATTCTTGACACAAAGGTAAAAGAAAGAACAGCAATTAGAACAATGTGATATTAACTGTTCTGAGTACTGGCAGAGAGGAGCCATAAAATTCAGTCATTCCAGCTTCCCAACTCCTGAGGATTCAACATCTCAGCATTCAGTAACACTCAAGTTTTGAGGGCCATCTCTCAACTGTGCAGTACAGGGAATAAGAAAATTCAGACCAAACTAAACTGAGGATTCTTTTTTTCCTCACTTGCATCTGTCCTAATCTGAAATATATCCAAACTTGAACAAATAACTCAGAATAAAAGCATACAAAGAGCAGTTCTTTCTGAGTATGCAAATGACCCTTGTGCTTGCTGAGTCTCAACGTGGCAGTTGTCACATCACTTCACAGGTGCCTGAACATTTACTGTATAACATCAGCAGGTTACTTACCTTGTGAAGGCAAGGGCTACACTCAGTTTTCTCACTGACTGCGAATGAAAGGCAGGCAACCATTTCTCTCTTTTTCTACACTCTCCCACTTACTTTCCTCATCCTCCTACTCCCCACTGTGGGAAATATGTCCTAAAAATGCAGCTACCATCATCATCTTTGCCAAAAATTTATCACTGCAACCACCTTCCCTTGTGTGAGTGAAAAAGGAATACTGGCAGTGGCAGTATGGGCTGTGGAGGAGGAGAGGTAGGAAGATATAAGGATGGAAATAAGAAGGTTTCTTTAAAATAAAAAATTCTACTCATGTATAAATCCACTTCCAAAAACCAAATAGCTGGGCTGAAGCTGTACTCCAAGTTGGGACATTTATGGACGTTATTCTTTGCTGCCACAACACTTAAGCAGTCATTTGAATTCATGCAATATTAGAGCATCACTAGCATTCAAAATTAGCAGATGGGAATGAACATGGTCTACCCCCATTTCAAACCGGTGAAAATTGCAGCACATTAGTGAAACAGAGTGGAGAATCCCAGATTTGGTGCCTGGTGGGTAGCCAAGAATAACACCAAAGAGATACTCCATGCATGTTTCTCATTACTGCCACATTACAGGCTTGGGCAAGAGAAAAAAAGCTGAAATTAAAACACCCCATTATGACTTAGACCTGCAGGTCTTTTGCACAAGGGAGTCCTACAGACACTTAGAGCACACAGTGAGCTGGTGTGACTATTTGGGATGGTAAGGCCTGGGCACAGGAACGAGGCAGACTTCTTGTAGGAGCGCCAGGCTTCCTTAGCCTCACATCATTGCCACAGCCAGCACGAGCTGCAGCTCTGCAGAGCACCTTTTGTGCAGTGGGAGGGAACAGACCTGCACAGAGAAGCAGCAACGTCAAGGCACTGCAAAGATGATTTTCTGATCATCTTTGCATTTATGCATTCACGCCACTTACTCAACACTTCAGTGTGGCCACAGGCGAGGATGTGGCTCCTTTTTAAAAAGCAAACAAACACAGAAAAAAAAAATCTGTAAGGAAAAGAAATATTGGTGAGAGACACTTGGAATATAAACATCATCTGGCAGGTTTACTCAATGTTGTATTTGAAATTCTAGGCACATTTATCATCCTAATGTATCTGTTTGACACAGATATAGATGAGCTACTCAGAATGAGCTGAGAGGTCATAAAACAGCTCTCATGAAAGACTCCAGATACTGTTGCTAAAATGGTTCCAAAAGTGGAAATATTTGGTCTCAAGCTATTTCTAATTGTTCTGCTCTCCCATGGCTCTGTGAATAGAACACCTCTGTTCACAGCAGACTGCAGTTTTTTCAATTGTTCAAGGATATATGCACACACCAAGGACGATACATGGAATAACACAATGCTATTGATCATTAAACATTTGATTTTAAACCCTTGAATTGTTTCACCAATTGCTTCCTATCTCCTTCTGTAGTGCTATACTCCACTTTTCACCCCCACTCCCAGACCAAAACTTAAAAAAAAGTCTGCAGCTGTTAAGTCATTTCACTGTAAAACCTCATTACAAACAAGTTGCACTGTGTTCTAGTTTACACACCTTACAGCTTTGCACGTGTCTGGTGATCTTTGAATGTATGCTTTTTCACCACTTACACAACCCTTCAGTCTGGTCTCAGGTAAGGATGTGGCTCTTTTTAAAAAGCAAACAAACATACAAAAATAGAAATACAGTTGTTCAGCCCCACACATTTATGCCCAATTTCAGTGAACACTGATAGCCCAAATAATTTACAGCTTGCTTTCTTCAAACACACAAGCTTCTAATGAAATGTAACTGCCTAGAATATTTCAAGGACTGGCAGGTGGTGAATAGTGGCAAGAAGTGTATAGCCAATCAATTTTTGAATGTACAGAAGTGAGGCCATAACTAGTCCTAAAGCTTCGACAGGTTAACTGTGTTGAAATGTGCTATAATAAAAACCTCGTTTTAGCCTTAAAAAGGAACAGAGTAATTTCTAAATTCAATGAATCCTGGAAGCCACATCTGTAATAATATTGGGGCTAATAATGTGTTTTTAAGAGATTACAGTTGTAGTCCGAACTACAAAAAGCAATCAAGTCTCCATATACATCTAAAATAAAGAATTTTAGTTGTTTCTGCAAATAAACGTTAAATGCTCTTGTAAAATATTCAAATTATTCTGGTAAGGAACAGCTAAGCATAGGAATAAGCAAAAATTTCAGCAGTACTAGGAGTTAAGTAATTAATTTCAGACTTAGTTTTCTATCTTACAGTGAAGGCAATCTTGTTCTCTTAACCTTGCCAAATTTTTAGAGTATTTCGGCATGGCTCCATGCTTCGCTCTAACCTCCCCAAACATACTGCCAGTCAGATATGATGGATGACATCTCTTAGCGCTCCCCACATCTAAAATCAATGCAGACACATTTTCATTCTGGGATATTGATGACTCTTTTTTTGATTATCCCCAGCACAGGTAGCTGCAAGATGCCACTTCAGTCTTTGCTTTGCTGCCTAAGAGGGGGTGTCTGTTCATGGCTGCTCCATACGTGCACTGCTACCATGCCCTTAACTCTGGGACTCAACAGCACAGAGCTGCTGTAAACCTAAAAGGGGCCAGCAAAAGTGGGTCTAAGCAGAGATCTTGCAAGGCTTGTTCAGTCCACTCGTCACCTAAACACAGAAAGCTGGATTCAGATCACAAGGATCTGGTGCATTAGAGATCAAAAATACTTTTTAAAGTTGTTAGCTTCTGGAACTCAGAAGATCCTGGTGTTCACCTGCCAGCCCTCAGATATCAAACATACTTAACAGCTGTGGTATCTTGAAGCAACAAGCTTGATTGTCCACCTACTCTTCAGGGCAGGGTGACCTTGCAGAGATGCTTATCACAAAAGAGGAATAAAGATCTAAATTTGATATTAGCTTTTCTTCAGGAAAAAAACAAACAAGTGACAGTTGACTAAGTGCATGAGGAGATCAACTAACGAAAGACTTGCTTATAGATTATAGGTTATGAAAGGTTTTAATCTATCCAGTTTAAGGAGCCCTGGAGCAGTGAGGACTTGGAAAGCTAACAAACACATAAATTATGTCAAAGGGGAAAGTGTAAATTTAGTTCTGGCTAGGTCAAGACACAACTTGAAAATCTTATGGAAATCTCACTGTCCAGACATATAAAGCACAGTAATTTCTGCCTTTCTCATTTGGTTTATCCTCTTTGGAGTAGGAGGAGCAAGCAAATCTTTATATTCCTGCCAGGATTTTGTTATCTGATTCTTAATCTAGCTTCTGAATCCTATCTGAAGGTCAAAATATCCCAAGGAAAACTATTCATGTATTAACAAGGTTCTGACGTCTCCAAAAATCCTCCCTCTATAAGAAATGATATGAGGATAGGGGTCTTACAACTTCTTAATTTCCAGGAAAAAGCCCCCTTCTCTCATTCTTTGGTACAAGAGCTTTAGTTACTGGAAGAGAAGGAGACCTCTGGCTAGGATTAGGGCATGGCATAACTTTCTGAAATAGAACAACAGTAGACAGATGCTCCTTGGAGAGTTAATGTGGGATGAAGAGCTATGAAGCCATGAAGGTTTGCAGGGCTTTTTCAGACAATGCATTCCCTTCAATCCATGGAGATTTGTGTCTCATTTTGTGAAAGCACCAAAATGAGTCCATGAGACACTTTCGAAAAAAAGGGAAGGAGAGTGCTAGAACTCCTATTTGAAGTCAATCTTATTTTGTATCACCACTAAACTGTCCTTGTTATGTCCTTGTGGACACAACATACAGAAAGCAAGTAAATTTGTAATTATTCACTTTGATGTGTAGTGATATTAAGAAAATTAGAAAACAAATTAGTTAGAAATGCAGGGGAAAAAGGTTTGCTGCAGACTTCTGTCATAATCCCAGATGCAAGTGAGCACTGAAGCTTGCAGAGAGTGAACTGTGCTGAGAATTTAGGATAACTGAGTTTTATTCTTCCTTTATCAGCTTCCCTGATATCAGGCTCCACTTTATCAGTAACTCTCAGTTCCTGAGAAATCATTTTGCTGTACTGTAAGGCTCCTCATTTATAAAATGGGGATAATGCCAGCAATCTCCTTTCAAAAGAGGCCTGTAGTGTATCGGAGGAAATTAGTAGATATTGTGATTACACTGTAATATACAAATGGTTCTTTTCTTCTATGTAGCACTGGGGATTAGCAGAACTGAACTGCTGGTTAACAGTGTGGTTATGCAAAACAGACAAATTAGACAAAACCCAGATTAGGTTAATTGGCTAGGCAATTATCTTCCTTTATTCCATCAAAAGAGGGATATGATACTATCTAGTTTCAGTCTAAAACTGCTTTAATCACAGAACTTGCAGGGACCTTTCAATGCAATGCCTTTGGGAAGCTACTTGCAACTTCCAAGACTCAGTTCTATAGTAACTAGACTCTTTTCTTTTTTCTTTTCTTTTCTTTTCTTTTCTTTTCTTTTCTTTTCTTTTCTTTTCTTT